GATCTCGCTGACGCAACAAAACATTAAAATAAGACAACTAACTGAACAATTCATTATTTTCAGTAAACAAAAATATGCTACACAAAAATATATATATAAATATATATATATTTATATACACACATACATAATCCAAATAATTTCATCACAAAATAAAAACAAATGAAATGACACACCTGCCTGCATTATTGAAGAACCCTTTGTCAGCTAGTGGAGCCTGACATAATTGGCAAAGGAAACAATGTGGATGCCAGTTATTTTTCAAAGCTTTGATCACTCGTCCAGTAATAAACTCTTTGCATCTTCCACAACATGGAGCATAGAGAACTTGAAAATCATACTCACAGTATTTTCTCTGTTCAAACTGATAAAATGTTTTATGATAATTACTCATATTCTTTCAATGGTTTAAAATTTTGAACAAAAAACATATACAAATACAGAAATCTAGAGTAACTGCTTGTTTGGTAGATAGGGGTATGGAATTACAAATCCAATATTCTAAATTGAATCAGTTCTTTTTTGTCATTCTGAACTTATCTTACTAATCTCTATATGTATATTTATTTATTTACAGATTGTAATTAACAATTATCTTTCAGAACCTTTACCCTTAAAGCATTTTTTAAAAAATGTTATGAGCAATGTAATTTTTCTGCAAGAAACAGGAAAAAAAAATACTTAAAACCATAAAATGTTACTAACCCAAACTTAAATACTTAATGTTGTTATGGAGTTGGAAGATAATTATACTTCCAAAGTTTGAAGTAAACATATATTTTAATAATTATATAATATCATATGGCACATAAGATTTTCACAAAATAGAGCTTTAAACTAGGTCAAGTTACCAATAGTCATAATCCATGATGAAAAATTTAAATGGTGACTCATACAACTCACCATAAAAAGACATAACTTTCATTTTTTAAATTTCAGTAATACCGAGTTTCATGTTTTATAACTTTCAGCTGTAAGATTTCTTTAAAATGAGTTCTTTCATATTTTTTTCACTTGTTCATGCTCTGTGACAACCAAAAGTCTTAAAAGTTGAATAATTGTTAGAATCTTTCAGAATGACATATGCAAGAAACAAGATATAAATGTAAGCCACTGAAACCTGTGAGATACAAATATTTTAGAAAACTTTTAACACAAAATATTCTGTAATTTAAAGTTTTGGAAAAACAGTTTAATTAAACAATTTGTTACCAAAAATATTACTTGAGAATTCTTATATGTTCGTAAAAGCTTTATGTTTTTAGTAATGGAACTAATTAGTAACCTCTAAGATTATGATGGGTTACATCACTGAATGATCACAGACTACAATTTTCTTCTTATGTCATCTTGAAATGAGCATACAAAAAGAAAAGGCATTCAAAATATTTTCATCAAAAACAATCTGGTTAAACCACATCTCATACACACAAAGATGAAGATGATATATGATGAATGAAGAGATAAACAAAAATGACCACTGTGACCACATCTTTTGCCATAGCAGCTTAGGGAAGTTATAACAAGGTCCATTAACTCAGAAAGTTCCCCCAAAAGAAAGGCTTTCAAAATTCTTTCTCTTACAGCTTGAATGTTAAACAATAACAATAGAAAAAAAGGAAACCAACAGAGAGAAGAACCACAGGCAAAAACAAAAAACAAGCTTCAATACGAAAATAAAAACATAATAATTAATCATTATTTTATCCTAGATATAACACCAAACAAAAAAGGGGTTTCCAAGTATAAATAAAAATAATCCCAGAAAGAAAATGAGTAAAAATGTGAAGGTAGCAAAATATAAAAAATAATAGCTCTAGTAGATCTAAGGCTAATATGTAAACTTCACAAATGGTAGCAAACAAAGCAAATTGAAGCATAAGTTAAGAGTGAAGAAAAATTATATTGTTGCGTATCTGCTTGTTTGTTAATTTCCGGTAGAAATTATTTCAGAGGAATTTCAGCGATACAAGTCCTTTCTTGATTAAACTAGTTTATTCATTCTCGATACACACTTTTAGTACACAGTAATTTCACAATCACTACGTTTCTCGTTACTTTGAATTTAACTACTTTTATAATACACACTAAAAATTACAGCAATTCACAATCTCGATAAAAAAACACACACTAGCTCGAAACAGAATCGTAAATTAGCTGGAACTCTCTTCATTCATCCTGCAGGCATTCACTGCTAGGCTTATATACTAAAAAATAGGGCGTCTCGAACAACTCTGGCTTACCCGATAATTCACGATCATTTGAGAAATTTCATGCATGCTAACAGCACCAAACGTGCCAGCAGCATCACATGACTTCTGCTGTCATAACAATAACGATTCAAGTGAAATCTGCTTCTTTATGGATGGCTTGAACCTCAAGTACAAGTAACATTCATGAAATGGAATGGAAAGAAACAATGCTAAAAGTCTGACAACCTATTCAAGAATTAACAAACAAAAAATATAAGAGTAACATGTTATATCTATGTGAAACTGAATTAACTTATAGCTACCCTGGAGAGCTGCTAGATACCAGGAGATTTTCTCAAGATATTGATTATGGAGTAGTACTAAATCTATTACTAACAGTGTCAATGTAAATGATGTAATGAAAATGGACACAAAATGCAAAATCTTTCTTATGACAAAGAAACACAGTGTGTGTGTGTACTTTTGGTTTTACTCAAGTTGAACCATCACTTTCATTGGTTCTTTCCTTCCAATAGTTCAAATTGAAATCATATACCAGATTGTTTCAATGGAATATTCTTTAGTTTGCAAGGAATCTCGCATTTACCTAGAATGACATGCGCTATCCATGACTTGTCATTTTCATCACAACATCACTGATGCTATGCTGTAACCTCTAGACATCACCTAAACAACCATTGAAGGACATTGCTGTTAGCATCCTTACACAATGTGTAATATTAAGCAGTGTTCTCACCAGGCAGAAACAAGAATTATCAATTTTCAAGAAAAACAAAGGAACAAAGGTAACTGGAAATAAGATGAACTTAAAGTTAAAGGTCTTCTTGACCACATGTTATGTGAAATATGTACATATTCAGAAAAAGAATAAAATCAAAATTATTATTACTACAAGAAGATAGATCCCATGATATATTCCTATACCACAATTCCAAGATGATACCTCACCTCTCACACAGTTTAGTTATGTTTCTCAGTACATCAGCCAAAGAGATTTGCATGTCACTAGACTTCAGGCAACTCCCACCTAAATTCACAAGATTTTACATGGATTGCACTACTGCATGATGATGTCATGATACAACAAAAGCCTTCCACCAACAGGAGGGTGACATACCCCCCCATGCATAATAATTGCCCCTTGTGCTTGCACTCGTAAAATTTATTCTTCTCCTCAGCACTGTAATGTACAGACCAGGGACAGAGCAGGGATTAGACAAGCATGGAGATAAATTTTTCAACCAGACCTATTATAATCACAACTAAAGACTATGATAGAAAACACTAAACCTCAAGATATGTTTTCCTTTTTGAGGAAATGGGAAATAATACCCACAAATTTGCAAGACTCATCTACAAATTAATGAACACTGTTAGATGTTACTTGAATAGGAAAAGTGGTGCTCTAACACAAACAAAATTTGCATTTTGACAACAAAACATAGCGACAGAAAGAAACCACATACATATAAAATCAAAAACTCATGCATACATATGCTTAGATCACACCAGCACTCACATAGTAGTAGTAGCAGATTATGTCCTCTGTACTTGGTTAAACTACCGTCTTCCTGGCTCTTTTTGTAACAAAGGCACTTATGATCTGTTTGGTGTCAAGCAATTCTAACAAGTCACTTTCTATGCACAAAAGTGTCAATGCATTTAGCCTGTATTGGCACATTGTTGGTCAATGTGTGTTTTTTATCCTTTTTTAGCATTAAGAATGATCTTTCTCCCAAGTAATTGCTTGTCATGAGGCACACAATAGATCTTTAAGATTAGCAGGACGTTTGGGAAAGTTTGTTTCAGAGATTGGTCTCATATCATTCTCAGCATACTTTTTTCTTGGGTTCTGATAGATGTTCAATGAATTCTGCCTTGCAGAGGGTGGTAAACTGAACAATCTTTTCCTCTGTGCAACTCTCCAAGTCCACAGGTGGCATTGTGGAGGTCCTCTGTAAGCATGGCCTCCAAGTTTTGTAGAAACCGAACTTGCAACTGATGTTTTCACATGCTACTATTCTATTGCCTATTGCAAATGACAGTTTGTCAATTATCGTTAAGGAAGTCTGAACTTTATATTGAATAGAGGTTGAAATGAATCACTGTCCTCAGCATTCCTCTTAACCCACCATGTGTTTCTCTTTCTTTTCCTTAATCTTTCAACCTTATATGTCTTGCATCTTGAAAGTTGTTTACCCTTTTCCTCATATTTAGGAAAGGAATCCTGTAATACCTGCGTGAGTATCTTGAGAGACCTTAACAAATGATCTAGCTTGACAAATTGTACTGACATCCACTTGGGAGTTTTATAATGAATGACTTGACTTGTAAAATCTCTACAGGAAAATGCTTCACAATTCCATCATTATACATATATAATTGACTAAGCATTGACTAAGTGAGGACTTGCATTATGGCTTTGTACCTCATTTTTAAAAGACTCTCACTGTGTCTGAATGGGCACTCTATCTTGTGTCTGATAACCTCCGTATTGTTGGAACCCTAGTTTTCAAGAACATTGTGTAAGCACTTTTACAGTCAGGTTGAAACTGAGAAAAACTCATAAAACTTCTATGAAATGGCAAGGAATAGCGTTTGTTTTAGCGCGAATGTTGAAATTAAGTGTATCGTAAAGTTATATTCAGAAAGAATAAACCAGTTTTATTTAAGAAAGGACTTGTGTCGCTAAAGTTTAGTTGGAAAGAATTTACCGAAAATTAATTAACAAACAGAGACGTAACAAATTGGTGTCAGAGAATGGGATAAAAAAAAAATGGAAACGAGAAGCGGCAAATCAAACTTCAGCCTAGCAGACTTAATGGCAGCAATACAAGAACAGCAAAAGAAACAGGAAGAACGAGAAGAGAAATTACAACAGTTGTTAGAGGAAAAAGAAAAGAAACAAGAAGAACGAGAAAATAAACAAGAAGAAT